AACAAGAAGGGTAGAGGGTTGTGGACACAGAAGCAAAGTTTATAATTCACAATAATGAATGAAATTCATCATTCACTTTCCCCTCTTGCAACTTGAGCCATAGTTGAAGGTGGCATGTTGGGGGACTTTCCTATAATATTCATGCCAGACTTTCTAGTTCTCACATCCCTGCCCTGTTCAATTTCCTTGGACAATTTGTTGGCCAGACAGCTTCTTTTAGCATTCATCTCTGTATCTGGCATTTTGTTGCCTATTTTATATCCCCCTGTCCCATACTAAATAGCTGTCTTCAATAGAGTTAGCATTTCATATGCTAGGAGAGTTTCTGCCCAGATCACGGGACAGGAATAGGAGTGACCCTTGTTTCACATTGTCACTTTTCCTAAAGTTTCTTCCTCTTATTAGCTCCAGATTCAGGTTATTTCAGCAGCTTAGAGTGGTCTTGGTCCTAGGAAGAAAAACTTGATTCTGTTCCCAGATTAGGCTCTGAATGAAAATTACTTAATCAAATAAACTGGCTGTCCTATAGCCCCAAAAAATGAAGGAGCACCAGAGTCTCACCAGCAGTGATGCAAACCTCTGTTTACACTCACTGCCCCATGTTCTTAAAGCAGTTTCTGGGAGACAGAAGGGTAGGATTAAGAGGATAGCTGCAATGCCAGCTTTTAGTCACTGCTGGGGCCTTAGTGCCTTCTTCCCCCACTCCCCTCCCCACAACTAGCATCCTTCCTCCTTTTGAAATTCCTCCATTCAAGATGATTTACAATGTGCTTCTGTTTTCCTCTGTTGCTTCCTTAATAATTGTATTTCTCTTCTAGTTTCGCAAGACAGTGGTCAACAGGAAGGCCCAGCAGCTCCACCCTCCTGAGTGACAGGCCATCTTCGGACGCAGCCTTTCTGTGCCCATTCTTCAGGCAACTTTCAATTCCTTACTGTAGCTAATTCTAGATGCCCTTTAATATTGTGAACAAATAGACCGTCTGGTATTATGGGAGCCTGTTCCTCTGAGATATGTGGTGTATAGGCTGCTGTATTTACACCTCCTCCCTCTCTCTCCATTGTGTTCTGCCCCATTTCTGGGTATGCCCCCACCTTAATTTCCAAGTGACATTTTTAGTCTTCAAGTTAGCTGCCTTTTGTGATGTGGTAATTTAAGTTCATTTGTTTTCAGCCTTGGGATAAACTGAGGTATTTTGCTTCCTGGGCAGATCCTTGAAATTTTGAATGCTCACCTGGGGAGAGAAGATGAGTTAGAAATACAGTATCTTCCCCTATTTCCCCCACCTAGTTCCACAGAATAGCAATGTGGCTTCATAACTCTTACCTCTGTTCCCAGTTACCCATTGTTACAATGTACTAAGCACGAAGGAGGTACCCAAGGCCCAGATTCTGTTTAAAGAAAATTTAACCCATATGAATAATCCCTGCCCCAGTCATTGCATCTCTGGCCACTGTTCTTACAAACAAGCGTGATTTCTTGGTCTTTCTGTTGCCCACTCTGTCTGAATTTCTCTGCAGAGCCTACAAGACACCCTGGTCACCTTTCCACCTGGAGGGAATTGTCCGGCGTGGCCCTTAGAATTGAATCTGCCCCATAGATACCAATCCATCTGACCCCTGAGGAGCTAGCTCTAGGCTCCTCTTCCCTTTTGGGCTGGTGCTGCCACTCAGCAATAATCCTCTTTTCTCTATGCTTTCTTTGATCCCTGTCCTCTGTCTATGAGGCTGGTTAGGATGCAGAAGTCCTGATCTTTTCATGCTGCACAAAATGAGCATGCAAAAATTCCCTCCTCCCCCAGCAGAACATGTACCCTCTTGTCTCCAATCACTGGAAAAGAATTTGGGAATCATGAACTCAGCTTGTCCTGCCCATGCTGAGTTCTGTCCTGGACAATCAGAAGCAAGCACTGATCGTAGTGGAAGAACTCCACTAAAGTAGACTGGTGAACAAGTCCAGGCTCCAGGGAAGTAGAAATTGCTGAGTGCTTCCCAGTTCCTTGACTCAGCAGAACCTGAGTATGCCTTCTTGATGGGAGAATATGAGATAGCTATGGTGTCACCTGACATTTCCCAAGCCTTGTGAAGTATGTTGGCCTGAGTGTGCAGTGACCCAAACCCATACTAGCCTGGGTCCCTCTGCTAATGAGAGAAACCAAATCTGTTTAGAATGAGAAGTGGGAAGGGACATTTTATCCTTAAGTTTTGTCTGTGTGTTTGCCTTACTCATTTCTAAGTGCAATAATGGAGCGTCTCACAGATTGCACCTGTGATATCCTCCTGACAGATGCTTCCCTGTGGCCCTCCTAGGGCAAGGGTAGACAGATTCGGATCCCTCAGCATGGTTAGCTCTGACCTTCATTGAGGTCCCTTTGGGACCAGGAGATATCTCATTATAGGTACCTTCCTATGTATTAATCTCCTCACCTTGTAGGGTCTTTGGTAATGGACCTGGGGCATTTCAGCTGGTGATCAGCATCTCAACTGCTAGGAGCATGTATTGGATTGGATTGGAAAAGTTGAAGAGAGACATTCCTACAGGAGAAAAATTTAAATGTTTTCCTGCAAGCTCTATATTAGCTATTAATTATATTTGTGCTTAAAGATTTTTCTTCTTCATTCATCAACTAGGTGAGGTCCAGGTGTGGGTTTTCTTGGGAGAAACTGAAACTCTAAGTAGACAGTTGTTTATGTGGTGTGAGGATCAGCAGATGTTAGCCTCCTTTGTTCAGTTCTTTGAGATCTACACATATCACTTCAGCTCTGGTGGGGGCTCACTCTTCGTTTGCCTTTTCTCTGGCTTCTCCCACTTCTACCTGTTGCCCTGTTTGAAAGCATCTAAATGAGCTGAGCTGGAATTTCTCAAGATCAGCCTAGATCTGGGGCTCCTGCCCACACAAACAAGAGGAGGGATATCTCTTTCTAATCCATCCCTATGGATGATGTTGCTGCTGGGCAACAGTGTTGGCTTCTTTTAAGTGGCCCCTTCCTTCTTTCCTTCTCCACCCCAAAACTGATGAGCACTCAGAGGGGCTTATGATGAGCAAAGGCTTAGCTCCAGGGATTATACCTGACGCTGTGCCATGCCCCTTCAGACCAGCTGCTTCCATTAGATTTCCAGGGTCTTAGTCCCAAATGAAAGCAGCAATGCCTCTACACAAGGGCTGCTGGGCCTCCTCATTGAGAGAGGTCAGGGACAGGGTCAGTATTGTGGGCACGTGTATATCTTCCCATGTTCTCCTTTCACAGTCCATACCAGGACTCCCTGACTTATTTTGGTTGGTTCCTAGTGCTCCTTCTTTTACAAACTACACTTTGTAGAACTGATTAGATTACCTTGTTTATTTAATGTGAGTTTGTGCCTTTTTGTCTCAATCTTCCAATACAGGTATATTGGGAAAAAAAAGCAGTCTAATAAAATCCTAGACAGAGCTTTCTGGAGTCCATCTTATTGATTTCTTATGTCCATATAACTCTAATATCTTCAAACTCTTTCAGATGTTCCCCATTTCACCAGAGCAGGACTGGGGAAAAGATACAAGCCCTTGTTGATTTACTTATGTAACACTGCATATCTGAATGTAATTTAGCCATTTTTTACTGATAGTATTTCCTTTTTTGCTTTTTTTAACCTCTCCTCTTCACATATCCCTCTTATCTACCCTACCAAGCAAAAACATTTAAGGTATAAAATATTTGTTTTTTGGTTTTTTTCCCAATACCTTTACTTATTTATTTTATGTGGTGCTGAGAATTGAACCCAGTGCCTCACTCACGCTAGCCAAGCGCTCTATTACTGAGTACAGCCCCAGCCCAGTTTTTTTTTTTTTTTTAGTGTGTGTGTGTGTGTGTGTGTCAGTGCTCAGTGTTCCAAAGGCTGGCCTCAAACCTTGTGCTCAAGCGACCCTCCTGCCTCAGCTTCTAGAATACCTGGGACTGTGGACAACCGGCCAAACTTTACTGGCTAAAGAAGGAGTCCTTACCCTGGTTTTAGGGTCTGTGAGCCTCATGAAGCTCCTTTGTAAACTTGCGTGCATTTTTTGCCGTGAGAAGGCATGGTTCTCAAATGAATCCCACACATTTCCTACCTGCTGCCGCCAAGAAAGATTAAGAACCAAGGACTTTAACGAAATTATTAGGAATCTTAGGCAAAGTAAATAATCTCCATTTCATGTTTAGTCTTGAATCTAGACCAAATCTATAAGCAGTGGCTTATTTTCATTCATTGATAGCTCATCTTCAAGAGTCCAGGAATCCCAAATGTCCCATGTTTAGTAATAGGGAAAATGAGTTCAAAAGCAAAAGCCACACGGGTGCGATGGCGCACGCCTTTCATTCCACCGACTCCGGAGGCCGAGGCAGGAGGGCATCAAATTAGTCTCAAGATTTGTCTCAAAATAAACATTAAAAAAAAAAAAGGCTGGGGATGGGCTTGGGAGTTAAGTGCCTGTGGGTTAAATCTCCAGTACCAAAAGAAAGAGAGCCACTTGAAAGCGGCAGAAAAGAACTAAATGCAGACGCCCACGACCAAAGTGAAATGCCTAGGGACTGAGTGAATTACCTGTAGTGAGGGAGAAACCGGGTCTCAGGAAGGACAGTGGCTACTGCGTGTCCCCACTCACGTCTTTTCCCTGGGTGTCTGGGTGTGGCGAGGCTGGAGGGACAACAAGGGCTGAGCGCAAAGCCTCGTACCTGACCCGAGCGCGTAGAGTTAGAGCGCGGAAACTCGCATGGGCGTGCGGGCGAGTTCCGCCGGAAGCGGTTCCCGGCTGGCCTAGCGCAGGGTAGGCTGGGAATAGCGGCGGCCTGGCTGCGGTCCTTCAGCTCGCCTGCCGGGGCAGTGTTGCGTTGAGTTATGATGACAGGCAAGACACGCCTCTTTTACGTCCCCGGATCCCCTGAGTCCCTTTCTTAGCTTCTGGTCATTTCGCGCTTGTTGGGGAGTCCCGCCTCTTCCCTCGACCGCACCACCCGGAGCCCTTGGCGTATTAAGATCCGCCTCCTACGGAAGCCGAGGCGGACGGTCAGAATCCGGAAGAAAAACAACCCGGAGAGAGCAAGACCAGCCTCTAGAGGGGCTTCCCTGGCTGGGATCTGCTGGGGAAAGGAGACGCGAGCCCGCCGGGTCATAGCGTGGGGATGGCGGCCTTGAACCTGCGGAAGATGCCTGGGAAGAAAAGAGAGAAGCTTAGGTGAGAAGGACGCAAGGGAGCAGGTCGGCCCGCTCCGGCAGGGGATTGTTGCTTTCAACCCAATCGGGACTGCGGGCTTAGGGGATGGAACCAGAGCAGGAAGGAAGAGGCCAGAGCTACACGACTGGCTTGATTCGGAGGCTCTCTCAAATTCTATTAGGCCAGTGTCCAATGGAATAGATTGGGTCCGAGCCTCGCACGTCCTCTCAACGTAGACGGTCGAGCTCGCTCCTGCAGGGGCTTCCCATTCATGTGCCCTGTTGGTTTTTGGAGCAGACAGACAGCTGTGTTGGGCTAATTAAGGACATACTAAGGCATTTGCCACTCAGTTCTAGGGTAGAAATCTTGATCCTGCTTGTCATCAGCACATAGACCATGGGATCTGCCTGATCCCATTATGACCTCCGGAAATCCGAAATCAGATTTAGGTAAGATCTTTTAGTGAAGTGAAGCCTGGTCTTATGCTTGCTCTTTCAGGAGGAACAAAGCTAATCACCATGTAGTGTAAGTCACGATGCATGGATTTGCTGCTAATCATCAAGAGTGGGGACAAGAATTTTGTTCTTCATCCACTTAGAACAAGTCCCTGGGAAAACAGGAGGCTTTGCCTTCCTTAATCCTTTGTTGAACAGCAGGGGGAGATAATAAACAATTCAAGTATATAATCTCAAAGTTCTTGAGAATGTGGGTTTTGTATTTTATTTTCATAGAGAGGGTTTTGTATTTTATGTTCATAGCTTTAAGCTGGCCAAGAATTTCTTCAAGTCATGTTCTAAGAACAGGGTCTGGTGGAGAACAGATGTTTTGGAACAACCTGCCTTTCTCTTCCATCTACCCCTCTTAACCCCTACCCCCATTCCAGATCTTTAACTGCTGAAGGTATTCATACTCACAGTGTTCCTGGGATTCACAGGAGGCTTGGTGGCTGTTCTTGGTCTCTGCAGGGTCTGCAGTTCCTGCTTGCTCTGTACTTAGCACAGTCTGGGCATCCTTGGAATGTTGCTTTAACTTCCCTTTAAGAGATTTCTTTACCTCCTTTGAGCTTCTGATGGGATGTAGTGTTTTTGAGAGCCACTGATATTCTCTTGTTTCCCTGGAATTCTTATGGAGCTGAGATGGAGAATGTTAACCAGCTGATGACTTTTTCAAGAGAGGGTAGTTTATAGAGAGATGTTGAGAAACCTGTTATTTAGAAGCTTCTCCTTAGGCTCCCTGATGGGCTTGGCAAGATTTGTTGTGCTCCATGAATTTGTTAGGAAGGAGCAAGGAAGGGAATGTGGTGTTATCTCTGTTGTTTTTTAAATTTCCCTGTCTTTATAATCATGAGGCTTATCACCAGGTACAGTTGAACTCCCAGGATTTTCCTGGTGATCTTAGGAACCCCTTGGTTGAGGAGTGGGGATAGGAAGTTGCTGACTGAGCCATTGATGATTGCTGAAGCATGGATGGCTGAAGGAGCTGATGGATTAATAAATGGCTGGCTATTCAGTGCCCCTCATCTCTTCCCCTGACTAAAAGTCTTTGAGTTCCCTTTGTCATCTCTGCTGTTAGCAGTGGCAGTGTTGCTAGGTATGCACAGCTCTGGGCCTGTATGGAAGAGCCAGTTCAGAGCAGAGATTCCTGCTTCAGGGAACAAAAATGAAGATGAAGAGCTTATGTAGTTCTTTGTTCATTTTGCTACCACCAGAAGACATAGAAACACATTTTCCATTATTACTGCAATGGATTATGATGCAGCTATTAGCATGCCTAGACCCCATCCATTATCTTGACAAGGTCTTAACCCCCATTTCTCCATGACTTCTCTTTTCATCCCTTCCACAGTGTACATGTTGTGACGTGGAATGTAGCCTCAGCAGCACCCCCTCTAGACCTCAGTGACCTGCTTCAGCTGAACAAACAAGATATGAATCTGGACATATATATTATTGGGTAGGTGTCTTCAGGGCTCCTTTACCCATTCCTCTCTCTCTCTCTGGGGAATTTCTGTAACCTGTCCTCCCTTACTCTGGAATCTAAAGGTAAAGAACTTTAAGCCTCATTGGAGCCAGTTTCATGTTTCTTATCCGGGGTCGGCAATCGCCAAGGGTTGAACATCAGTAACAGGACAGCTGGGAGAAAGAGAAATCATGCTCATCAGAACCCAGAACTTGAAAGTCTGCTGGGGCAGTACTGAATGACTATGACAGAGGCAGTATTCTTCAGGCTACGGAATGAGTTTCTAACCTGGGATGGTCAGTTTGCAGGAAATGAACTCTGGGATCATAAGCCGCCTTTCTGACACTGCCTTTGAAGACCCATGGAGCAGTTTCTTCATGGATGTACTTTCCCCTCTCAACTTCATTAAGGTAACATACAAGTTCATGGGCAATTAAGAAATGTGTCTCACCTCCTCTGATCCCCAAATGTTCTGATGTATTCCTCTTACACCTACTCAACCTTTCATGCTTTTTCTCATTTATTAAAATTGTGCTTCTGACTCCCCGGGGCTCCTGCCTGTCTTTGCCTTTCCAAGATACCTAGATATAAGCTAGGACTCCAGAGGTTAGTTTCACACCTAAATATTTGTCACCTTGGGAAATTTCTTAGTGGAGGAACAGCAGGGCTTATTAATACCTCAGTGCCCACCCTTGCACACTCTACTCACTTCCCAGACTAAAATCTCTGAGTTAATAATTGCTAGTAATTATAGAATTTTTTTTTTTTTTTTTTTTTTTTGGTATTGATGATTGAACCCTGGGAGACTTTATCACTGAGCTACATCCCCAGGCCTTTTTATTTTGAGACAGGGTCTCCCTGAGTTGTTGAGGGTCTTGTTAAGTTGCCAGGGCTGGCCTTGGACTTGTGATGCTCCTGCCCCAGCCTCCCAAGGCACTGGCATTGCAGGTGTGCACCATTGTGCTCAGCACATTATAAATAAACTCTTGGGCTGGGGATGTGGCTCGAGCGGTAGCACGCTCGCCTGGCATGCATGTGGCTCAGGTTTGATCCTCAGCACCACATACAAACAAAGATGTTGTGTCTGCCAAAAACTAAAAAATAAATATTAAAATTCTCTCTCTCTCTCTCTCTCTCTTTAAAATAAATAAATAAACTCTTTACATACTTTATTTTTTTTTTTTAAATTTTTTATTGTTGGCTGTTCAAAACATTACATAGTTCTTGATATATCATATTTCACAATTTGATTCAAGTACATACTTTATTTTAAACTCTGAACAACTTGGGCTGGAGATATAGCTCAGTTGGTAGAGTGCTTGCCTCACATGCACAAAGCCCTGGGTTCAGTCCCCAGCACCACAAAGGAAAAAAAAAAAATCTGAACAACTCTTGAGATGGGATTGTTTTACAGATAAAGCTAAAGCGCAGAAATCACATGGGCTAGCCAGGTAAGGTGGTACATGCCTGTAATCCCAGCTACTCAGGAGGCTGAGGCAAGAGAATCTCAAGTTCAAAGCCAGCCTTGCAAGACTCTATCTCTAAATAAAAAAGGGATTGGGATATACCTTGGCAGTAGAGTGCTTGCCTAGCATGTATGAGGCCCTGGGTTCAATTTTCAGCACAGAACAGGAAGGTAGGGAGGGAGGAACAAAGGACAACAGGAAGGAGTGAATTAAGGAATCACATGGGCTATTTGGGACCTGAATCCAGGTCCAAACTTCATCATCCATGTTCTAACTACTACATTTTGTTGCTATACTAGTGAGCTCTAAGACTGACAGGTATCCCATGGCTAACCTACTAATATCAGAAGGAGTCCTCTGATTTTATAAGAGACATGTATGTCAGATTCCCAGGGGCCTACAGATTAAGAGAGGGGAGATAGGTATGGGGGAAAAGGCTCTTGATCTAAGAAACCAGTATATTTTGGGAGAATCCATAGGAAGGCTTTAGGTTGCTGTTCTTCTTATTTCTGCCTTGCACACCTGAAACATGTTCCCTTTCAAAGCACCTAGATCACAGCTTCTGAAAATGCCAGAATTCTCTGTTCCCTCCTCTGAGTAGCTGTCATTTCTCAGAATTAATTTTGTTACTTGTGAAGAGATGTGGCTAAGTGGTAGAACACTTGCCTCACATATGCAAAACTCTGAGTTCAGTCCCCATTACTGCCAAAAGAAAGAAAGAAAAATGAATGAATTCTGTGACCCTCAATTGCCTGAGAGTGCTAGAGAAAAGGTTTGTGTCCTTTCAAGGAAAAGGGACTATAAGGCTTAGACTTCCTGCATAGGCTAGAAAATGCCAGCAACTTAGCCCTTGCTTCCCTCCAAATCTATCTAGAGACCTCTTCCTGCAGTCTTGGAGTCAACTCCTCACAGAGGGCAGAACCAATTCTCTTATTACCCACTCCCTTCTCAAGACTACAAGCCTCCTTGTGCCTTGGCTAACTGGCAAGGGATTGGTATGATGGAATTAAGCCAAGGAAATTAGCTCAGCTTGTGGCAGGGATACAACCCATTCCACCCATGTGCTCTCCTTAGGTTGGGAGGCCAGCCTGAAGGCAGGCACTCAAAATGGATGCCTCTCCTTCCTCTAGGCATGAATACAGGTAGACAGGCAAGCCTTGTTTACAGCCTGTTCTTCAAGTATGGATTTGACAGTCATAGGTGGAGAAGCCTGGGACTAATTCCTTTGCTGTTCCAGGGCTCCCAGCCACCTCCTGTCAGTCCCTTCTTCAGCTCCTCCTACTTCATTTCCTCCAACTGCAGCTTCCTCTAGAAGCCTCCTGTTTTTCCCCATGGTCCCACCCTTTCTTCCAGTTTGATCCTATCCTGCCCCCACTCCATCCTCCCTGCCCCCTACTTCCTGCTGCTTCTTCACAAAAAGTAGCCTCTTCATTTTGGTAAAACTTAGTGGGCCAAATATGCTCTGTGGGCTAGGATTGAAGCTGAATCTTTCCTGAATCTTTATCGGTTTCTTGGCTGCTGTCCTGACCCTGGGAGTCAGCGCCTCATAGTCTACCCCTGTCCTTACTTATATTGTCATATATACTCCATTTGCAGCAGCTTCAGGTTCTGATTCCTCTCTTGCTCACTCCTGAGTTGGGGGTTCCACCGCTTTGACTCCTCCACTGAGTTAGGGCTCCTGGCCTGCGGGATCAAGTTTCATAATTCCTGGAAGGCTCCAGTACACGCTCCCCACCCGGGGATTTCCTCCTTGGCCTCTGCACCTCATGCTCCGGAAACAGCTACTCGGGTGGTGGGTGTAGACAGCCTGAACCTAAGAGAGAAGGTCACTGGCAGTGACCCATTCCCACCCCTCTCCTGCAGCCACATATGATGGGTATTTTGGCAATCCTGGAAAAGTCCTGCGTGTTCCTTAGCTTCTCTGAATCTAAGTCCCATATCTGCAAAGCAAGGACAATGATTACTTAGAAAGTTGGCAAAGAGATATGAAGTACTTCAGTAGATGTTAGTAATTCTCCCCAACCTGAGAGTACATGTCCTCTGTACTTACTGTCCTCCCCTGTGCATTACCTTTATGAATGTCTGACTATACACAATCTATAGTTTACTTTTTATAGCCTTTCCTTAGGGTTTTTTAACTGAGTGAGAATGTGTACAGGAATGTGTGCAGAAATGATTATACATTTTGGTGAATTTTTACGTGAGTACGCATACCTGTATTACCATCAGCTAAATCAAAATACAGAATGTTAGCTGGGTGTGGTGGCACGTGCCTGTAACCCCAGTGGATCAGGAGGCTGAGGGAGGAGGATCGTAAGTTCAAAGCCAGCCTCAGCAACTTGGCAAGGTCCAAGGAACTTAGGGAGATCCTGTCTTAAAATAAAAAGGGCTAGTATAGTGTTACCTTAGATTAGGTAAAGGGAAGTGAAGGGAGGAGAGGGGAAGGGATGTGGGAATAGGAAAGATAGTAGAATGAAACAGACATTAATACTTTATGTATATGTGTGACTGCATGCCAATAATGATTCTACAATATGTATACTCAGAAAATGAGAAATTATATCCCCTCTATGTATGATATATCAAAGTACATAAATGTATTTTACTGTCATGTATAACTAATGAAAACAAATAAAAAATTTTAAAATAAGATAAAATAAAAAGGTCTGGGGATGTTCCTCAGTGGTTAAGCATGCCTGGGTTCAACTCCTGGTTTAAAAAAAAAAAAAAAAAACCTAAAACAAAATGTTTCCAGCACTCTAGAAGTATCTCTCATATTCCTTCCCTGCATTTACTTTTAAAAATTCTTGAACAAAAAGAGAATAGCTATCAGATGACCTCCACAGCTTCTATGATGTAATATTATTCTTGCTTTATCAATGAGAAAATAGGATGAGAGACATCCAGGTACCCAAAGAATCTCAGGTCAGCATCAGTGAGAGGATTATCTAGGCATGTGTGGGGCTGGGACTGAAGATTCGTGCCCTCCTGATAGTAGGGTACTCTGGCAGCCTTATCTTCTCTCCTTTCCACCTCCAGGACCAGGAGCAAAAGCTAAAACTTCAGCTCCCAGAATGCACCATTTGGTAGCTGGGGGAAAGAATGGAAAGGAGTGAAAGTCTGAGTCTTAAACTTGCATACCATAGACCCCAGGTTAGGGTTTTGTGTGGGGCTTGGGGCTTTCTAGAGCCCCTAGCCCCAGGTCTGCCAGGGATGAACTTGGTGTGTGTAGTTTAATAAATGACCTTTGCCCTCTCCTGCAGATCTCCTATGTCCGCATGCAGGGACTCCTCTTACTGGTGTTTGCCAAGTATCAACATTTGCCCTACATCCAGATCCTCTCTACAAAAACCACTCCTACTGGCTTTTACGGGTACTGGGTAAGGACTGAGCTGTTATGTGAGGCATGAACTGGGAGAGCTAAGAGCTTTAGAACTGGACAGAAGAAAGAGAAAATAAAGTGAATCCTGGTGAATTCTGGTGCCCCATCCAGCCCAGCACCTTGCATATTCATTCTCATACCTCAGGGGATGGGCATCTCTAAGACCCCTGGCTGGGTGGACTGGGCTCTCTGAGTGGAGAGATTACACTGGGAATCTGCATGTCTACCTCTGGAGGAGGTGAGACTATCTCCCCTTGGGTCTAGGATGGGAAAAGCTACCCAGAGTAGCTTCCCACCCTTCTTTCCACCTCTCCTACCAGGGGAACAAAGGGGGAGTCATCATCTGCCTGAAACTGTATGGCTACTATGTCAGCATCATCAACTGCCACCTGCCTCCCCATGTGGCCAACAATGACCAGCGACTGGAGCACTTTGACCGGATCCTAGAGATGCAGAATTTTGAGGGACATAAAATCCCCAACATCCTGGACCATGAGTGAGCCTGGAGCTGCAAACTGTCACCCCTGCCCTCTCCCTTACACCAACCCAGGCTAGCATCATCTACCCCCAGCCAGTCAGTAGTGCTTTATCTCCCACCCTCTCTCCCCCTTCTGCTGATTTCTCATCTGCTGTCCCACCCAGTTTTGCCTGCCTGAGGTCCCCTTCCTTCAGCCCCTCTGTTCTGCCTGGAAACCCTGCACGTTTCTAAACATCCCAGATCAAGAAGCTTGGGGTCCCTGAGGTTACCAGGAGGGCTGTTTTTCAGCCTGACCTGATAGCCAATAGAGGAAGAGGAAGGGAGGGCCAGAGTCTGCTCCATATTTGCCATATGCTCCCCTAGACTGGTCTTTTCAGCTTGAATGATGATAATCTAGAATAGTTCTACTAGCTTGGCCTAGTGGCACACACCTGAGAGGCTGAGACAGGAGAATTACGAATTCACAGCCAGCCTCAGCAACTTAGTGAGGTCCTAAGCAATTTATCAATACCCTGTCTCAAAATTGAAAAAAAGGCTGGGTATGTAGCTTGGCAGTAGAACGCCCCTGAAAAAAAGAGGTCCTGCTTGACCCCACATATCTTTGTCTTGGCCTGATCGTCTAGCATCTGGCTTTTCATTTACCCCCGAAGCTTTCTACTCTGTAGCACCCCCTTGTATTGAGCAGACCCATGCCACCTGTTGCTCTCCATTTGCTCACCTTGTTCAAACCCTCAAGCTGCCCTCCTTTCTTTCTGAAGCCTCATTCTCTGGTTCGGAGACATGAACTTCCGGATCGAGGATTTTGGGTTGCACTTTGTTCGGCAATCCATAAAAAATCAGTGCTACAGTGACCTGTGGGAGAAAGAGCAGGTATCTAATCTGAGCCCATGTGGAGGTCCATATATACTCTACAGAGAACTTTGCTCAGATTCCCTGGGGGGTGGTCTCCTCCCACCCCCACCCCCCTCTGTAGACAGCCAGCAGTTGGGGAGGTGAGTCTTGGCTAGCAGGGCTTCACACCTGGGGTGGGACAGCCATCTTTTCAGTGCCTAATCTTTGCCTGGAGGAGGCTCATGTGCTCTAGAATAGAGAGCCAGAAGTCCTTTGGCCTGCCATGGCCCTATAATCACACACCTTGCATGTCCTTGCATTCCTAGCCCACTCATATCCCTGTTGTCTTTCCTTGCCCCAGCCTTATTTGCCCCCTAGAGGATGCAATATCACTCCTTTGGGGAACCATGGCTATCCCAGGTTTCCTTCTGACATAAACCTACTAGTAACTTCCAGATAGGTGGAATTCAAAGCCTGCTTCCTATAGTCCAAGGACTAGGAAGTAGCTGGCATCTGCCTCCCCTGGGCCTGTGGGGTCAGGATTGACCTGCTCCCTGGGTGTTGGGGTGGGCCACTGAGGTAGCCACTGGGGCAGTGAGAAAATGGAATATGGGGCTGAGCCACTGGGTCAAGACTGTGGAGAGATGAGGACTGTGTCTTCATCTGCAGCTCACCATTGCCAAGAAACATGACCCGCTGCTCAGGGAGTTCCAGGAGGGCCCTCTGCTCTTCCCACCCACCTACAAGTTTGATAGGAACTCCAACAACTATGACACCAGGTGAGGAGGAAATGGGTGCCCAAATTATGTCAGTCCCAGTGCCTGTGGGAGCTGCCCAGAATAGAAGAATTAGGAAAGCAGAACTAGACCCAGCCATCACCTCAGGAGAGACACCTCCTACCTCCCACATGAGGCACTGCCTGCTGACAGTGGAAGCTGATGCAGATGGTCCTCAGGGAGAGCAGGAAGGAAAGCCAGTGCTCACAAGGGGAGCGGGGAGGAAGGGTGGGAGGAAAGGGTGGAGTCTGCCCTGACTTAGGAGGGAGTGTATTTCAATACTCTGGGAGTCCTTGCCTTCTCTTTCTAGGGCCTTCTGGTCCCCAGACAGCTTGCAGAAAACTTGGTTCAGCCAGTTACCAGTTACTAGCATTAAGCATTCCTTCCCCAACCTGTGAGCAGGCCAGTTCCTATGTGAGGAGATAAACAGTGGAGAATTTCATGGGAAACAATACAGAAACAGTATATGTAGTGTTGCACTGTACAGTACCGCCTTTGCCAGGATATGAGTTTGAGCAAGGTCAAAGTCTCTAAAAAGGTTTAAGCCTCAGTGTTGTCATCCATAAAATAGGGATTATAACAGTATACTGCAATTGTTATTTTGAGATTCATGTCTTCAGGTGGTAGTTTTACTGAATTCCTTTCTAAGAAACTGAGAAGGGACCAGGTAACTACCAAATAGAATTAGTCAGAGGGGCAAAAAAGCAATCTGGAAATAGTTTCTTAACCCAATTTAGGGCATGGACTTATCTCTTTGAAGAAAAGAACCCCTTACACACTTTGAGGTTATTTGTTTCACTGGAGCAGCTTCTTCATTCCTTTTAGCAGGAGTGTCTTATGAGGCAGGTAGAAGTTGCTTGCAGGGCAGCCCAGTTTCCTGGAAGTTAAGGAGTGAACAGGTTATCTCCACAGCAGACCAGAGCAAAAGATAGAACTCCAGGCATGATTCTGGAAGTGGTATGGCCAAGCCAGAATGTTCTCACCAAGAAAGGGAGAGAGGGTGAGCTATTTCAGGAGTGTGAAGCAAGATGGGGTGGGGCCATGATCACACAAGAAGAGGCAGTGAACACTGCAGACAGAGCCCAGCCTGGACAAAAGAGCAGGCAGAAAAGGAGGTAAGAGGGCAGTCTTACCAGGGATTGATTGGTACCAGCTCTGGGCTGGGGTTGTAGCTTAGTTGGGGGAGCGTTTGCCTTGTATGGGTGAGGGTCTGGGTTCGATCCTCAGCACCTAATAAAAACAAATAATATAAGGGTATTATGTCTGTCTACAATTTAAAAAAGTATTTAAAAAAGAAAAAAGGCTCTGGCTGACTGGCAGCACCACAGCTTCAAAGAGACTGCCATTCTCTGCAGCCATCCATTGGAAATGAGAACCAAAATGGAAGCTGTATGGCCTTAGTGGAATTGGCTGGGGTCTTGGAGGTCAGAACCTCTACCATTGGACTTCAAAACTTCACTTGCAGGCTAGAGATACAGCTTAGTGGTAGGGTGCATATCTACCATTTGCAAAGTCCTGGGTTTGATCCCAGCACTGTAAAGAAAAAAAGAAAGTCAACACTTCACTTGCCCTGTGGCCAAGCACCCCTTTCCCTCCTTCCCCTAGGGTACCATAGGAGACAACCAAGTGACTGGGTCTGGGCTGCAGTAGTTGGCAGGATCTGACAAGGTAGATAGGTTCAAATATGGTAAAAGCCCCCAAGTGGCTCAGCTATTGAGTGAGCTGCAGTTCATACCTAAATATCTAGACTCCATAATGCTTTCCTCTAACCTCTCATACCTCAGAATTCATAGCTAAGGACTGGGGTATAACTCTGGCAGAGCAAGTGCATAGCCAGTTCGAGGACCAGCAACAGCAAAAGAGGGCGGAGTCAGGACAGCAAATACTTAATAAGGACAAGGTAGATACGTTATTACTTATTGTGAATGACATTGTTAAGCACTAACTATTTACTAGTTATTGTGCAAAAGGCTTTGCCAGCCAGGCATATGCCTATAATCCCAGTAACTCAGGAGGCTAAGGCAGAAGGATCACAAGTCTCTAATAAATAAATACATAAAATATAAATAGGGCTGGGGATGTGGCTCAGTGGTAAAAGCCCATCTGGTTTCAGTTCCTAGTATCTAAAAATAAGAATATGGGGCAGTGGAGAGCACTTGCCTTGCATGCATGAGGCCCTGGGTTCGATCCTCAGCACCACGTATAAATAAATAAATAGATAGATAGATAGATAAATAATGAAGCATATTGTGTCCATCTACAACTTAAAAAAACATTAAAAAAATAAGAAGATGGCTTTACCTGCATCCCTTAGCTTTTTTTTTTTTTTTTTTTTGGTGTGTGGGGGCAGTGGGGAGTATCAGGAAGTGAACCCTGAAGCACTTAACCACTGAGCCACATCTCCAGCTGCTAGGATTACAGGTGTGTGCTACCATACCTGGTCCTTAGCATAATTCTTTTTTTTTTATGTTTTTTTTTTTTGGGGGGGGAGGGTGGTACCAGGGATTGAACTCAGGGCACTCAACCACTAAGCCACCTCCTTAGCCCTGTTTTGGATTTTATTTAGAGACAGGGTCTGAGTTGCTTAGCACCTTGCTTTTGCTGAGGCTGGCTTTGAACTCTTGCCTGCCTCAGCCTCCCCAGTTGCTGGGATTACAGGTATGCCACCACACCCAGCCTTAATAGTGCATTTAAGATGCAGTTTGCTTTTCTTATTTCCTATGAATGCCCAAAGACCAGAGAGTGAATCTGATTTGTGATACCCCTGATATGAGGCAGTGCCTAACATGTATTTGAAAGGACAAAAGGAAAAGTCATGGTAATTAAATCAGTCTATCAGGGAGATCTAGACAAATGCTATGAAGCCCAGGAGTTAGCCAGGAGGTTTCTAGAACTCTACGGAAATGCCAAAGGAGACTGGCAGCTGTAGCTAGTGAGGTTTGATCACATTTGTCAAGAAAAATATCTTTTTTTTTTTTTTTTTTTGTGGTGCTAGGAATGGAACCCAGGTCTTACTTTACCAAGTGCTCTATCAAGGAGCCACATCCCCACAACCCTCCCCCATTTTTTCTTTTTTTAATTTTGAGACAAGATCTTAATAAATTGTCTATGCTGGCCTTGAACTTGCAATCCTCCTACCTTAGTCTCTCAAATCACTGGGATTATTAGCATATACTTGAACTTGAACTTGCAATCCTCCTGCCTTAGTCTCTCAAATCACTGGGATTATTAACATATACCACTGTACCTGGCTAAAGAGAGTACCTTGAAGGAGTTAACAAGGTTGACAGTAGGAAGAGGGGCAGGCACTCAAGTCTGCAGCACTGATAAGAGATGCCTGAGGGGAGACTGACTCATCAGAGATCCTGGCCTATCTGGGTGTACAAAATGACTATGGGTGACTTGTATGCAGGGCATGATATGTAGCTTTGACAAGCCACTACAATGTCCCTGAGCCAAGATGTAATGAGAAACGAGATCAGCTCTATTACAGGAGGGTGAAAGAGCTGAGGGCAGGGCAGGCAGGAAATGCTGTTAGAGTCAGGGATTGCACTAGGGTTTTGTTACAGTTGCCGTTATTAATACAGACAGCCTCTCCACAGGCAATAAGCAGAAGATATTATGATCAAATCTCATTAAGTCTTGGGTCCCAGAAACATTAAGTGCCTGATGGGTTAACTATGGCTCAGAGTTTAGTGAGACACTTAAAAGCCATCTATGTGGGTTGCGGGTATGGCTGAGTGGTAGAGTACTTACCTACCATGTACAAGGCTCTCAGTTCAATTCCTAGCACCACCAAAAAAAATGGGGGTGCTGGGGTTGTGGCTCAGCAGTAGAGTGCTTGCCTAGCACACACAAGGTCCTGGGTTTGATTCTCAGCACCATATAAGAATAAATAAAATAAGGGTATTGTGTCCAACTACAACTAAAAAATAAACGTAAAAAATTTTTTTTAACTCACCGGGAGTGATGACATACACCTATAATCCAAGCAACTCAGGAGGCTGATGCAGAAGGATGGCAAGTTCAAGGCCAGCATCAGCAACTTAACTTGATCAAAAAATAAAACAGACTGGGGGTGTAGTTCTGTGGTAGAGTACTCCTGGATTCAAACATCAGTACCATGAAAATAATAATAAAGAAGGAAAGAAAGAAAACTCTTGCCAATCCTATGTATCATTTCCCTCAGTTGCCTGACATATAGTAAATCTTGATAGAAATAATGAACAATACAGGTACCCAATGATGAGCCTGGACCAGCTCATGAAAAAAAGGGACAGGCAGGAGAGACAGGCTGTGGTCAGAATTTGGGAAAGCTCCCAATGGGACAACAGATCTGACTGTTAACCATTACAGGGAAGTTGGAGAGTGGGGATGCTTTGAATGACAGAATGTACATTAGTATAGTTCATTACTAGGGTTTTAAGCATTGCTAGGCATTTAGTCCCTGGAATGGGAATGCAATCAATGTTCAGTAACCTCTGAACACTCTTCCAAGTCTGGAAATGATGCAAAGATCCAACACGCAGACTGTGGTTTATCCAGAGTTAATGCTTCTTGACCACTCTCTTGATGTGCTTTAATCTCTAATCATCATGATTGGTCTTTGAAGTAAGTTCTGTTGTCACTCCATCTTAGAGTTGAAGAAACTGAGGTGTAGAGAGGTGAATTCACTTGCCTAAGGGCACATAACTCTGAATAACCAGCATAGAACTCTCCTATTGCTTGTCTGATTCTGGAGTCTTGAGTTCACCATGATGCTATCCTCCTCAATTGCTGGAAGACTATTGCTGCTTACATGACTGGAAATGTTTTTTTATTTTTATTTATTTATTTATTTTTTGGTGCTAGGGATTGAACCCAGGGCTTGTGCATGAGAGGCAAGCACTATACCAACTGAGCTATATTCCCAGCCCTGGAAATGTTTATTTTTAATAATAATTGATCTGATTTTGGTAGTGTACAAATGTATTTCTACCAATGGGGAAGCTAAGGCAGGAAGATCACAAGTTCAGGACTAGCCTGAGCATTTTGTCGTTTTGAAGTTGTACAATCAATGAGTACTCTCTCAAAATAAAAAGCTGGGGATGTGGCTCAGTGGTCTAGCATTGCCTATCATGCACAAGGCTCTAGATTTAATCCCCAGTACCAAACACACAAATATTAAAATAGTAATTGAGCAAGAAGGCATGGTAGTACATACTTGTAATCCCAGGAACTTGGGAAGCTGAGGCAAGGGGATCACACATTTGAAGTCAGACTGGGCAACTTAGTGAGGCCCTGTCTTAAAGTAAAAGAAGCTGGATAATATAGCTCAGTGGTAAAACATTCCTGGATTCAATCCCCAGTACTGCCCCCGCCCCCCCAAAAAAGTAATTGAATAAAGCAAGATACAAAAATAGTGTTTCGAAGTGATTATGAATATATGGGACTGTATACATTAAGATTGGATGGATAGAGCTGGGGATGTGGCTCAGTGATAGAGTGTCTGCATTGCCCAGCACTGCCAAAAATAAAGATTAGATGGGTGTATTTTTTTTTTTTTTTTCAGAGCCAAGGAAGGACCAAACTCAGGGCCTTGAATGTGGATAAGTATTTCAAGGAGAGAAATTGAATTTGTCATTTTGCAGTTGCACAATCAATGAGTACCCATGTGCCAGGGTCTATACTAATGCTGAAGATACACGGGAGGCTCTAAGAGCAAGTCCTTGTTTTTAGAGTTAACACTCTAAGTCATGTGCTGACTAGAAAACAGAAAATTACAATATAATGTACTTGTGTAAGTACTGGCATAAAATACTTTGGATGCAGAAAGTGAGGTCGGGGTAGTTTATCACAGGCAGTGTTGAAATTGGGACTCTCCCTTGTGAAGAAGGGTATACCAGGTAGGAAAAAAATGAGCACAAAGGTCCAGAGGCTTGAGAGAGTTGCCAGGGTAGAATGTGTGTAGGGAAAGTGGGAGACGAGGTAGTACAGGCGAAGTCAATCTCCTGAGCCCATTGAAGGACCAACTTGGATACTTTATTCTAGAGGCAATGAAGACTCCTTAAAGGTCTTTATAGTACTGGGGATTAAGCCCAGGACCTTCCACATGACAGGCTTTAGTATTGAGCTTTACCCAAGTCCTTTTTATATTATTTGACCACAGGATCTCACTAAGTTGCTGAGACTGGTCTTGAACTTGTGATCATCTGTCTTAGACTCCTGAGTAGCTGGGATTACAGTCATGTGCCACCACCAATTTTTTAAAGGTGTTAAAAGTAGGGATTCATCTGATCAGGCTCTACTACTCTAGGGTTTTTATTCAAGAAAAATGATTATCCACTAAAGGGGAGGTACCCAGATATAGCTATCTCTCTCCTTTCCTACCCCCAAAACATTTCTGGAATCAAGGTCTCCATTTGGAGATCAGGGCTTGGGGGCTCAACTGGCCTTAGCAAACAACTCAGTAGTTGCTTGGGCTGGGCTGAGTAAGGGCTCAGAGACCATCTTTGACTTCAGTTACCTAGGGGAGGAAAGTACTTTGTGTCAGGGCATGTTTCTCAGGGACTGATAAGTGAAGAGTAGTAGGTCTCTCTATTGACTTAATTTTTTTTTTTTTTTTTTAGTTGTAGGTGGACACAATGCCTTTATTTTATTTATTTATTTTTATGAGGTGCTGAAGATTGAACCCAGTGCCTCACCTGTACTGGATGTACTACCAATAAGTTAGAACCCCAGCCCCTCAATTGACTTGAGAACAAAGAATCACAATGGCCAAGGTCTGCAGAAAGTTTATTTTGGTACTGGGGATTAAACCAGAGGTGCTCTTACCACTAAGCTACATCTCTAGTACTTTTTTTTTTTTTTTTTTTTTGGAGACAGATCTTGCTAAGTTGCTGAGGCTGGCCTTAAACTTGCAGTCCTCCTGCTTTAGCCAAAGTTGTGGAGAATTTATTTTGTACCAAATATTGTGCTAAACATTTTATGCACTTTCAGTCATTTAATTATCTTAGCAACCTTGTGAGGTAACAACTATTATTTCCATTTTGCAGATGAGGAAGCTGAGGCCTAAGAGTGGTGAGTTAGTGGTGAAGAGAATGTACTCTGTGGACATGCTGCCTGGAGCCTTGAGTCCTGGCTCTACTATTTACTAAATGTTTGGGGAAATTACAAATGGTGAATGATAATGATATTGATTATAGGCATCTAGTTAGCATTCCCCAAATGCTTCTCTTTCCTACATTCACACCATTAGTAAGCAGGGAAGCCAAATTCAACCTTAGGTCTAACTCCAAAATCCAAACCTCACCTTCTTTGATCTTCTGCTGCTTTTGTTGAGGAAAGAAGCAAACCTTTGAAATGGAATGTTTTTGCTGGGCATGGTGGTACACACCGGTAATCCCAGTGGCTTAGAAGGCTGGGATAAGAGGATTGCAAGTTCAAAGCCTCAGCAATTAACAAGGCCCTAAGCAACTCAGTGAGACCCTGTCTCTAAATAAAAATGGAAAAAAGGCTGGGCATGTGGCTCAGTGGTTAAGCTTCCCTGGATTCAATCCCCTGTACCAAAAAACAAAACAAACAGAAAAAGAAATGGAATGTTTCTGAGTCACAATCTGATTCGTAAAAAAGTGGCCTATTCAGAGGGTCCATGGCTAAGGGGTCTTGTGGCCTGTGGTAGACCTTGAAGTTAGGGGCTCCAGCAAGCTTGTGGAAGCATATTCCTGTTGTCATGCCAATCCTTTCTTCTCTCCCCATTCTTCTCCACCTCCAGTGAGAAAAGACGCAAGCCTGCATGGACTGACCGCATTCTGTGGAGGCTGAAACGGCAACCCCAGACCAGACCCTTTACCCCCAATGTGCCAGTCACTCACTTCTCCCTATCTCTGAAGAGCTACATCAGCCACATGATGTACAGCATCAGTGACCATAAGCCTGTCACTGGCACCTTTGACTTAGAGGTGAACCCTTGGACTGCCCTACACTCAATAGAGGAGAAACTATGCTGGGCCACATCCCCAAACCCTCTAGGCCTGGATTCTAATGTCAGCTAATCCCCCAGGGGAGACCTGTAGGAGGACATGATTGCCCTCCCTCCCAGGTCAGGTATCCTAGCTCTTCTTCAGAGCCGTTGATGGCTCTGTCTGTCAAAAACATGTTCAAGCCCTTTGTGAATAGGTTTCTGTTTCCTCTTGGTACTCTCCCTTGGGACTAATGAGTTCCATTATGCTTATTACCTACTGTGTGAAGTAGGACTTCCTTTATTTGTCTTAAACCTATCTGGATCAAGTTGCAGAAGGAACTCCCTCCATCCCTGTATCTTGCCATCTCACAAACAACCAAGACAGTGCTGACCTCCAAGCTGCTGGCTGCCCTCTCAGCCTTCAAGCTTTCATGTTGGTTTCTCTTTCCTACATCATTGTGCCCTTCCATGTTTTAATAGCTTTTCTTATCAGAGCATCCCTGCCTCAAAATTGGGTTTGGGCCTCTAGGTCAGAACCTTTGGAGGCCTGAGAACAGCTGCCCGACTTCTTTCTTAAACCTCTCAGCAAATCCCCTTCTCCCTCCACTTTCACCCTTAGCACTGGGCACCTTGTGTCGCCCATCTGGCACTCAACCCCATTCTCCTTGGCAGGGCCAGCTACTCCCCTGACAAGTTTTTGGCCCTTTCTCACACAAGCTTTTGGCCCTTTCTTTTTGGCCCTACATTCACACCATTAGTAAGCAGGGAAGCCAAATTCAACCTCAGGTCTAACTCCAAAATTCAAACCTCACCTTCTTTGATCTTCTGCTGCTGGGACAGACTTAACAAAATTCTGTGCCCACCCGCTCTGGTATCCCTGCTCCCTGTACTGCATTGGAAGGGCACAGTGAGGAACAGTTGCCTTAGAGGAGGGAATAGTGTTACTGAATTTCAACCTGCTTCTCCTCCCTGTTGTAGCTGAAACCGTTGATGACTGTCCCACTGATCACCATGATGCCTGATGGCTTGTGCACCATGGAGAACGACATGTTGGTCAGCTACTCCTCAACCCCCAACTTCCACAGCAGCTCCTGGGACTGGATTGGACTATATAAGGTGATGTGTGAGCAAATTGGGGAGCCTACCAGCCATAGCCACTGGTCTATCCTTCCTGATGGCTCATGGGAACTGAGCAGAGACACTGAAGAACTTAGTCTTCCATCTCACAGGTCCTAAGGGCTAGCAGGGAAGAAAGGAAGAAAGATAGTATAATGGCAAGACCATCTTCCCCCAATCAGTGAGACTCATCTTCCCTTTCTATAGGTCCTATGTCCTTCCCAACTACTGACTACCCAATTCCCTCCCCCATAGGTGGGGATGCGCCATGTTAATGACTACGTGTCCTATGTCTGGGCCAGGGACAACCAGATCTCCTTCAGTGACAACCTCAACCAGGTATATTTTTTATTTACGATTTTTAAAAATTTGTTCTAATTCGTTATACATTATAGTAGAATGCATTTTGACACATTGTATGCAACAGCCAGGTACATTTTCAGCAGGTGGGCTTGTCTAAACAGTCCTGCCTTCTGGAAAGAACAGAGTGCTGGATAAATTACCCCTAAGGGCTGGGAAGCGCCCTAGAACTGACCATTTCTATCCATCATTCCCTTCAGGTGTACATGAACATCAGCAATATCCCTGAGACTGAGGATCAGTTTCTTCTCTGTTATTATAGCAACAATCTGAATTCTGTGGTGGGGATAAGCAAACCCTTCAAGGTAAGAGCTGCTGGTGGAGGAAAGGAAAAGGTATTATTAGAAAGGATTTGAGCCTATCGTTGGGTTCCCAGAGGCCATTGGCCCAGGAGCCAACCTAATCCTGTGGGGCTGCCTCCACTGGGGAGTGAAAATTATGGTAAGGTATGGAGGAAGGCCTGAATTCCATTTTTTTGCCATCTGTTTTATCCCTACAGATTCCACTTCGCTTCTTTTTGAAGGAGGAGGAACCGTTGGGTGAGACCCAGCAAGTTCTGAGCCAAGATGGGAGTGAGTGAATCCAGGGTGGAGGCTTGAGCTGGCAGCCAGCTCTGCCTTACCACTGCCAGGGGTGCTGTGAACCGGGCCCAACCCCTGAGCCTCAGCCAACCAAGTATCCTCCACCTATCCACCTCCCAAAGTGAGTTCTAGCCAGACTTGTTCTCTCCAGGCCAGAGCTCTAGTATTAGCACTTAAATACAGGTTTTTGTTGCTGAGATGTGAGTGAAACCAACTAGTTTGTCAATAGCAAAGACTTGGAGACAGTCCACCGGATAGAAGAAGGATCCTCCAGCCTGCATCTCATTTCTTGATTTCCCACAAATCCAGTCCCATCCAAACAGACTTGCCAGGCACATGCCCTATCTGGCACAGACCTGCATTCTTGTCACACCATCTTGGGTCTCAGGTAGCCTGGGAGGAGGAGATGCTTCCATTTGTGCAGGCTCCATAGATTGGTTGGCAAAAGTAACATTGAGTTTCAGAAGTCATGACATCTCATAGCTTGTCCCTTTGGGAGATGATCAGAGGATCTGGGATCCCTGCTTTCAGTAGAAGAAGTATGACTAAATAGAGAGTATGGAGGGTCCCCTCTACTCAGGCTCTTATGTAGTGGTTGTAAATGGGTCCAGTGAGGGTCCTCCTACCAGCACAATCTACCCTCTGCATGGTGGAGTCTGGCCCAGAAAACACCAGGGCTTGAACAGAGAGAATTGTTAGACCCTAGGTTTGCTCCTGCAGGCGGGTTAGGCCCATGGCCTCATTTACCTTCTTATGAAAGATTGACAGGTGGCAAAGGAGCTGAAGCTACAGATTTCCAGGGTGATCCTTGACAGATCAAGCTCATCTTGTCATGAGTCCTGAGCAAGAAAATGCTTCTCTGTCTGGACCCTCTGGAAACTAGAATTGGAAGCAGGCAGAGAGCTTCAAGGGAGAGCTGGGGTTGAGACATTCTGTAGTCAAGGGATGGTGGCTCAAGCCTGTAATCACAGTGAATTGGAAGCCCGAGGCAGGAGGATTGTGAGTTCAGAGCTAGCCTCAGCAGCTTAGTGAGGTCCTCGGTAACTTAGACCCTGTCCCAAAATAAAAAACATAAAAAGGTCTGGGGATGTGTCTCAGTGGTTAAGTGCCCCTAAGTTCAATCTCCAGTACTATTAAAAAAAAAAAAAAAAGATTTTTTTTTTTTGGAGGACCTGACCCAAGTGCTTCAGGGAACATTCTCCAGGTGCCATGTGGACATAGCTTATTCCCACTCCTGCCAAATGCCTTCTGCTGCTGGTGATTCAATAGTTCTCCCAGAAGATACCTCAGGGAGTTTGCTCTATGACTGTAACATCCATCCTATAACCTGAGATAGTCATGCCAGTTGTTCTACATTCTATACTCTACCCCGGGAGCCATGTGATTAAAAATTGTTCCCCAGCTTCTAATGAGCCATGTTCTGTCTGTTCTATTGGAGGATAATAAGAAATGTCGCTTTAAACACGTGTGATTCCTTGATGATGGGGGGAGTGGACCAGAAATACAAGAATGAGATCTAAACATCTGGGTTTGAATCAGTGTTCCATATTCAGTCCTACCCTACCCTATCCACATAAGAGTCTCAGATGTCAGTAAAATACAAATGGGGAACTTGTTCACAAGATTATTGTGAGAGGGCAGTTGCCAAAAAATAAAGCAGTATATTCACCTACCCATTCAAATTCATATAACCCTGGAACTGACTCCAGGGCCTCCTGTTCTTCACCTGCTCACTCTCCCCTTCATATTTTCCAGTTCTGGCCTCCTTTTGAAAAGCTGCCCCCCCACTCCCCCCCCACGCTCGACTGGAATGGGTCTGGCCAACATGTGATTGAAAGGCGGAAAAGGGAAGGGGATTGCTCTCCCTCCTCTTGGCTCCAGTCAGGATATGGCTGCTCTGGGCCCACCCCTGACCCGCTGGGTGGAAACAGGAAATATGTGAGACTTAGTGTTTGCTGGGTCTCTGCTTCTGGCTCCATGGCTGATAAGGGCCTTTGTGTGACCACCAGGGATGAGCCTGCCCTAGATAGATGTGCTTCCCAGAGGAAGGAAGGAAGCTTTGCAGGCCTTTCCTGAGTGTGGGAAGCTGTGGGGAGGTAAAGGGAAAGTGCCTAGGGAAGATCCCTGCCTGGGGCTGTTGGTGTCAGCACAAGCCCAGTGCATACCAGCCCCTCCCTTGCCAACCTCTCCCTCTGGAAACTGTTTCCCCCATCCACTTCCCCATTCTCACTTCCTATAAGGAATGGCTGGAGCCTGGAGGGTCCAGTCCCAGGCCAGGAAAGTGTCAGCTGTGATTTAGCAACAATAAAGATAGAAAAACAGGAACACTGGGGGCAGGGGGTACAGTGGAAGAGTAAGAAGCAAACCGCTAGAATTTGCACATATCCTAGGAACCCAGGAACTAACCTCCCAATGTTACCTGTTTCGGTGACAGAGGAGGATAGGACAGGAGCCTGTCCACAGTGCCCTCTTGCCCCTTGGGCCCAGGATGGCCAGCCCTGCCTCTAATAAAACTTGAGGGGTAGCCGGGCACAGTGATGCCAGGCACAGGGATGCACTGTGTAGTCTCATATCTTAGTTACTCAGAAAGCTAAATCAGAAGGCTCACTTGAGCCTAGGAGTAAGAGATGCTGGGATTGGGGCTGAAGGTCAGTGGTTGAGCATAGTTAAGTGAAGCCCTGGGTTAAGGTCCCCAGTTGGAGGGAGGGGGTGCAGGGAAGCAGTCAAGCTTGCGCAGCCTAGGCTAACAGAGCAAGACCCCATCTGAAAAACAAAAGTGGCTTATCTGTTGCTCTCAAGAGAAAGCCAAGTTGTAGGGACATGCAGGAGGGGCAGTGCCTACTAAGGGATCAAGCAATCCTCTTGGCTTAGGTGAAATAGCTCCTAGTTGGGGGGAGTGGTCACTGGGCTTTCCAGCTAATACCAAAGAGTAGGTAATGGGAGAAGTCCAGCCAAGGAGCTGCTGGGAGAAAGGGGAAAGGCCTCCCACCCTTTGACCCGGACAGGCTCAGGGTCCCCCATGGGTGACTGCATCAGCTCCTCTGGTTACCTGGGACAACAGGCATTTCCTCCATGGTTCAGCCCCTCCTCTTCCTGCCCCAACCTTCCTGGCCAACAGGCCTCTCAATCAGACCTGGACTGGACTGCTCCAGCTGTGTCCTGAGGAGCTGGACCAGCCATATCCCTTGGGGCTGGAGTTGAAGCAGAACCAAGTGGTCATCCCAGCGTGAGAGTGTAGATTCCTGGCCTCGGATCGGCCAGCACCAGTAGGCAAGCAGGCCGATCTTCTCAGCCCCGGCTCAGCGATCAGCACACTGGCTTTCCACAAAGCAGAATGGCACTGCAAGTGGAGCTGATACCCACGGGGGAGATCATCCGCGTGGTTCATCCCCACAGACCATGCAAGCTTGTAAGATTGGGATGCTCTGGGCTGGGAGGAAGGGTGGCAGTGGCTCCCCTGGGCCGGGCTAGTTCTCTTAAGCACGCCCCAAGGAAAGACATGACCAGTAAGGATGGGTTCTGATCCTTGGTGGTTAAGAAACTGGAAAAGGAGTGAGTGAAAGCAGGGCATAAAGTATTAGGGGCCACCAGAAGCAGGATTTTTCAAAGCAGAGATCTGAGTTTGCATACTTCTTCCAGTTCTCTGTACCTCAGTAGGCTGGACTATGAACTGGGCATAACAAGCAGCTGAGGGTGCTACCCTGAGGTCAAAGGAGTAGTGCAAGTAAACTGGTGCGTAGTAGGATTAATGCCTCCCCTTTCCCGCCCGGACCGCGGAACTGGGACTGCGGGATTCAAGGCAAATAGGATGGAAGGGGAAATGGGTGAAGGCAGAAGAGGTAGTTAGAAATGGGGGAAGTACTGCCCTAGCCAAGCACGCAAAGGAGCGTCTGGTTTGCTCTTGGGATGTAAAGGGCCTTTAGCATGAGAAGGGGCGGACGCACCCTGCCACCCAGCACTGCAGATGGAGCTGGATCTTCTGCCCGAGTAGGGTGTGAGCGTGTGCGCTTGTGACTGAGACGCGCCTCATCCTGCGAGCTTGTTTGAGGAGTGCGGCACGAAGCCTCAGTGGATGCGGGCTAGGGCCCGCTTACTTAGGCCAGGGCCAGCTAGGGTGGGGCGGGGCCCGAGGGCGCGCGCTCGCGCGCGCGCCTGGGTCTGGGCCCTGCCCGAGATGACGACAGGCGGCGGCCCGGCCCCTGGAGGGCCCTGGGCGGGGAGAACGTGCCCGGGCCACGGACTCCCGAGGCGGCCAAGCCGGGTGCCCCGGCCCCCGCCCGTACACCCGAAGAGCCGAGCCGGTAGGTAGGTACGATGGACAAGGCATGGGGCGGGTAGCGGCCGCGTGGGTGGCCCCGGAAGGTCTCCGCTAGCTAGTGAGTTGGGGGAATGTGCAGGCGCTGGCCTACAGATGCGATGAGGGAGGCGGGGGTCTCTGGCCGGGTTGAGACTTAAGATCTGCTCGGGCTGGCACTTGCTGGTCCCAGGGTCCGGAGGCGCCGGGACTCAGCTTGGTGTGGACTTAAAATTACTTGCGGATAGTGTGAAGGCGGGGAAGAGCGACTTTGGTCGCGGGACCCGGGCACCTAGGGCGCCCTTCGGGCCTCTCCCGTAGCCTTCTCTGCCTCTGGGTTCCGGAGAAGTCACCCCAGCCCCGCCCCTTCCCGTCCACCGCCTCCTCTGGGCTAGCAGCGCCCGTGACCGTTTGTGCCGGCTGGTGAGTGTGGCGAGTGGGGGGCTTAAAAGATGAATGAAAGAGTGAATGGGTGACCCGTGGCTTTATTCAACTCCGAACGCTTGGACCCCTCACTCACACTGCTGGGTTCTGAGATTCATTCATTCATTCGGGCGCCCACGAGGGGCTTATTGAATCCCAATTGGGTGCCTGGCTGAGTGTGTCTAGAACTGGAGCAGTCTCCTGGAAGAGACTGGAAAAGGAAACAGACGATTAGTGCTGAATGCAATAAGGAGAGGGCTGTGTTGAGGGAAGTCAGGAAGGGGTTCTGGAGGTGATACCTGAGCTGTCTTCAAGGATGACTAAGAGTCAGTGAGGTGGTGAGGCAGAGTGTACTGGGCCAAGGAAGCTGCAGGTGCAAAGGCACAGCTCAGAAAGCCACGTGTGGCTGATGGCTGGCAGGACAACAGCAGCTCCTCCTGGCTGTGTGAAGTGGTAGGGGAGGCAGAGAGGGAAGGGACTGCAGTCACACAGGAATGCAGGAACAGTAGGGTAAACTAAGGACAGTGGTGACCTCAGAAATTCATATGCTGGGACTTGAAGTTGGTGTGAAGAACAGGCTTGGCTCGTGGTGGGGTGCCCTATAAACCTTCACTCCATTAATATGAGATGTTAATTGTCAGATGTGCATTTGTAAATAGCACAGGCTACTATGAGAAAGTGGATTGGTGAGAGGAAGGCAGGGAGCTCAGTTAAGAAGCTGCTATCTTGGTCCAGAACAGAAGCAGTCATAGAGGAGCAGAATGAGGTTTCAGCAGAATGTAACTAATGCAAGGAAGAGTGAGAGAGGAGACCAAGGGTTTAATACCAGGTCCTGATGATCAGCACTCTGTTAGGGGCAAGGTGCTCTGTTTACTTTGGCTGGACCCCCAAGCAGAGATATCTGGCAGGACAAATACCTGGTTCTGGAGCTACATTGTCCTTGGAGCAATCAGAGTAGATCCCTAATGTCCCTATCTTCTTCTTATTTCCCCTCACAACAGTTTCCTGAAGCCTGGAACAGTCCTTGGTGGAGCAGCCTAGGCTTAGATTGAAGATTTATATTTATATATCTAAATATATATCTAAATATATATCTATCTATATATATATATATCTATCTATATATATATATATATATATATATAT